CACACATGGACTTGTCAGATGTCCAGGCAGGATCATCCTTCCACATATATGTTTTCCTGCAAATAAAATGTGATATCTATCCTTCCACACATATGTTTCCCCACAAATAAAATGTGATTTATATATATATAATATATATATACACACACACATATATATTACATAAAATGGAGGGACATGTCAGCTGCTCTAGGCAGGACTCTTCTTCTACATATATTTCCCCCAAAATAAAATGTGATACACACACACATGATTATAATTATAATTAAATGTAGGGAGTTGCAAGCTCCTCAGGGCAGGACTGTCCTTCCACATATATGTTTCGCCCAAATAAAATGTGAGACATATATATGTATGTATGTATGTATGTATGTATGTAGTGAGTTGTAAGTTCTCAGGGCAAGAACCCCCCTCCAAATATATCTTTCCCCATATATATATATATAGAGAGAGAGAGAGAGAGACTTGCGCACGCGCGCACACACACACATATATATTGCACACACACATATATGGATATATATATTAGCTATACCCGCCACGCATTACTGTGGCCAACCTTCCCTCCCTCTTTCCTTCTTTCTTTCTCTCCTTCCTTCCCTTTTTTCTTTCCTTCTCTTCCTCTTCCATTCCTTCCCCCCTTTTCTTTCCCTTCCTCTTTCTCCCCTTTCTTCCTTCTCTACCTATTCTTGGACTGCAACTCCCAGTAGTCCTCCTGATCGATTTATCTACCTACCTACCTATCTTTATCTAATCTATCTATCTGGAGGGTTTCTGGGAGTTGCAGTCTAGGAATAGGAAAATGGAAATATGCAGGAACAGGGATGATCTCAAAGAAATCCAAGGAGAAGAAAGCTTGCAGCTTGAAAGCAGTGCATTTGGATCATCCTATTCTCCTAAAGGGCCTGGTTTAGGGAATGTTGGGAGCTGTAGTCTGGAAGAAAGTGTGGATATGCTATTGTGTGTTTTGTTTGCTGTAGCGTCTTTTTGATTTTTTGGCTTTTTAAGTCCCTTGTGCTGTGTTTTTCAGTGTTTTATGAGTGATGCTCAGTCGCTGGCCTGATAGGTGTATTGTGTCCAAATTTAGTGTCAATTTGTCCAGTGGTTTTTGAGTTATGTTAATCCCACAAAAGAACATTACATTTTTATTTATATAGACTAGCCATCCCCTGCCATGTGTTGCTGTGGCCCAGTCTGTGTATATATGTTTTGTGTGTATGTGTGTATATGTGTATATATGTGGCTTTGTACATGAGTTGTAATGTATTTTTTAATTTTTTGCTTTTTACATCTCTTCCACTGTGTTTTTCGTATTTGTATGAGTGATGGTCACTAGTTGGCCTGATAGGTGTATTGTGTCCAAATTTGGTGTCAATTCATCCAGTGGTTTTTGAGTTATGTTAATCCCACAAACGAACATTACATTTTATATATATCTTGTATACTTCTCAGGCCAGGACCGTCCTTCCACATATATGTTTCCCCACTAATAAAATGAGATATCTATATCTACACACACACACACACACACATATATATATTACATAAAATGGAAGGACCTGTCAGCTGCTCCAGGTAGGACCCTTCTTCTACATGTATTTCCCCTGAAATAAAATGTGATACACACACATATATATAATTATAGTTAAATGTAGGGAGCAAGACTCAGAGCAAGACTCTCCTTCCACATATATGTTTCCCCCAAATAAAATGTGAGACAGATATATAAGGTAGATAGATAAATAAATAGATAGATGGAAATGTAGTTAATTGTAAGCTTCTCAGGGCAGGACCCTCCTTCCACATATGTTTATCCCCAAATAAAATGTTAGATACTAAAATATAAGGCCTTGTCAGCTGCTCCCTCCACACCTTATCTTTTCTCCAAATACAACCCAAGTTCCTCGGGGCAGAGGCCGGCCTTCCTTTCAGAACAATCTCCCTCCACTCACTCACTCACTCACTCACTCACTCACTCACTCACTCTCTCACTCTCTCTCTCTATATATATATATATATATATATATTCCCTAATGCAATGTTGAGATTTCTAGGCTCCTGAGAGCAAGACCCACCAACTCCCTCCAGAGATAGATAGATAGATAGATAGATAGATAGATAGATAGATAGATACTGAATTGTAAGCTCCTCGGGGCAGGTCCATCCTTCCACATATATGTTTCCCCCCAAATAAAATGTGACATATACACATAAAATGTAGAGACTTGTCAGCTGCTCTAGGCAGGACCCTTATTCCACATATATGTTTTCCCCCAAATAAAATGTGATATGTGTGTGTGTATAATAAAGAATAAAAAGTGACAGGAGTTGTAAGCTCTTTGGGCCAGGACCCTTCTTCCACATATATGTTTTCTCCCAAAGTAAATGTGATATAGGTATAGATGTATAGCTATATAATAAAATGTAAGGCCTTGTAAACTCCTCAGGGTGGGAACGTCGAATATATGTTCCGCCCCAAATAAAAATATGATATATATACACACACATGCGCATAGATATACAGCTATATAATAAAATGTAGAGACTTGTCAGCTGCTCCAGGAATGGCCTTCTTCCAAGTGTATTTCCCCAAAATATGATGTGAGATGGATAGATAAGATAGATAGATACACACACACACGTGAACATAGATATAGATGTATAATAAAAAGTAGAGACTTGTCAGCTGCTGCAGGCAGGACCCTTCCTCCAAGTATATCCCCCTCCCCAAATAAAATGTGATATAGATATAAAAGGTAAAGGTTTCCCCCTGACATTAAGTCTAGTCGTGTCCGACTCTGGGGGGGGGGGGGGGGTCTCATCTCCTTTTCTAAGCCAAAGAGCCGGAATTGTCCGTAGACACCTCCTAGGCTACGTCACCACAGGCATGACTGCATGGAGTGCTGTTACCATCCTGTCAGAGCGTAATCTATTAATCTACTCACATCTGCATGTTCTTGAACTGCTAGGTTGGCAGGAACTGGGGCTAACAACGGGAGCTCACTCCGCTCCCCAGATTCAAACTACCGACCTTTCGGTCAGCAAATTTGGCTGCTCAGAGGTTTAACCTGCCACACCAGTGCCACCAGGAGCTTCCGATATAAATATAAATATATTACATTTTATTTTGTGGGAAACATATGGGGAAGAAGGGTCCTGCCTGGAGCAGCTGACAAGTCTCTACATTTTATGTAATATATGTATTTGTGTGTGTGTGAGTAGATTAATAGATCTAGATATATCTTTGAGCCACAATATCCCTCCATATCTATATCTATAGATAGATAGATATAACAAAATGTTTTATATAGAGGGGGGGGGGGAGAGGAAGGGAGAGAGAGAGAGACCTCACTACCTCTGAGGATGCTTGCCATAGATGCAGGCGAAACGTCAGGAGAAATGCCTCTAGAACATGGCCCTATAGCCCGAAAAAACCTATAAGAACCTAGTGATTCCAGCCATGAAAGCCTTCGACAATACAGAGAGAATAAACTTGCTGACCTTTTGGTCAGCAAGTTCAGCAACTCAGGAGTTTAACTCACTGTGCCATCGGGGCTCCATATATATATATGTATATAATATTATATGATACATACATATATACATACATATATATATATATATAGCATTATATATGTGTGTGTGATATAATATAATGTGATACATATCTATATAAATAAAAATGTAATGTTCGTTTGTGGGATTAACAGAACTCAAAAACCACTGGATGAATTAACACCAAATTTGGACACAAGACACCTAACAACCCCATGTATGTCCTACACTAAAAAAAAATTGATTTTGTCATTTGGGAGTTCCTGGGATTTATAGTTGACCTACAATCAAAGAGCATTCTAAACCCCACCAAGGATGGAATTGAACCAAACTTGGCGCAGAGTTCTCCCATGACCAACAGAAAATACTGGAAGGGTTTGGTGGACACTGTCCTTTGGTTTTGGAGTTGTAGTTCACCTACTTCCAGAGAGCACTGTGGACTCAAACAATGATGGATCTGGACCAAACTCTACACGAATACTCAATATGCCCAAATGTGAACACTGGTGGAGTTTGGGGAAAATAGAATCTTGACATTTGGGAGTTGTATTGCTGGGATTTATAGTTCACCTACAATCACAGAGCATTCTGAACCCCACCAACGATAGAATTGGGCCAAACCTCCCACACAGAAAGCCCATGACCACCAGAATGGGCCACAGCAACGCGTGGCAGGGGATGGCTAGTATATATGTATGTGTGTGTGTGTGTGTGTGTGTATATATATATATATATATAACGTTCGTTTGTGGGATTAACAGGACTCAAAAACCACTGGATGAATTGACACCAAATTTGGACACAAGACACCTAACAACCCAATGTATGTCCTTCACTCAAAAAATTGATTTTGTCATTTGGGAGTTGTAGTTGCTGGGATTTATAGTTCACCTACAGTCAAAGAGCATTCTGAACCCCACCAACGATGGAATTGAACCAAACTTGGCACACAGTTCTCCCATGACCAACAGAAAATACTTGAAGGGTTTGGTGGGCAGTGTCCTTTGGTTTTGGAGCTTATAATGTGATACATACATACATACATATATATATATGTATATGGCATTATATGTGTGTGTGTGTGTTATAATATAACGTGATACATATATAAACATATATTTTTTCCGAGCCATAATCTCCCTCCATATGTATCTATATGTATGGGCCCTTCCACACAGATATATCCCAGAATATCAAGGCAGAAAATGCCACAATATCTGCTTTGAACTGAGTTGAGTCCACACTCATAATGTGGGATTTTCTGCCTTTGTATTCTGAGAGAGAGAGCTGTGTGAAAGGGCCCTATATAATATAATAAGGCCCCCTTCTTTCCAAGCAGATCTGCGTGTCTTTCTCCTGCCGGGCCGGGCCTAGTCTCCCCCCGAAGCCACGGCCTCCGTTTGCAGTTATGCCCGAGGCCAGGGGCCCTCCTCGGGCCTACTCACCGGAGGGTGCGCGGTGGGGCCTCCCGCTAGGCTTAGGCCTGAGCCTTCCTGCCTTCCTTCCTTCCTTCCCCCTTCGCGGCCTGGCTTTCCCTCAGGCGCCGCTCTCCTCCTCCTCCTCCTTCTCTTCCTCACCGCCTCTGTCGCTCTGCTCGGCGGACGCAGCAGCGCGACACTCGGCAGCGGGATTGCTTTACGGCAAAGCCGCCAAGCAGCGCCGCCACCGCCTCTCCTAAGCCCCGCCCCCTCAGGGAGTAAAGAGGTTCAAAGGCTCTGAACGTCACGTCTGGTTCTGGTGCGACGCTTTTGGGTGAGAGTCATGGCAGGGTCATCCACACAGTCAAAGGCTTCAGAATTGACTATTCTAAAGCCTTTGACTGTGTGGATCATAATAAATTGTGGCAAGTTCTTGGTGGGATGGGCATCCCAAGCCACCTTGTCTCTCTCTGAGGAATCTGTACACGGACCAAGTAGCAACAGTCAGAACTGACCACGGAACAACAGACTGGTTCAAGATTGGGAAAGGCGTACGGCAAGGCTGCATCCTCTCACCCAACCTTTTTAACTTGTATGCAGAACACATCATGCGATGTGCGGGGCTTGAGGAATGCAAAGCTGGAGTGAAAATTGCTGGAAGAAACATTAACAACCTCAGATATGCAGATGACACCACTCTGATGGCCGAAAGCGAGGAGGAGCTGAGGAGCCTTCTAATCAAGGTGAAAGAAGAAAGCGCAAAAGCCGGGTAGCAGCTAAACGTCAAAAAAACCAAGATTATGGCAACAAGAATGATTGACAACTTGGAAATAGAGGGAGAAAACGTGAAGCAGGGACAGACTTTGTATTTCTAGGTGCAAAGATTACTGCAGATGCAGACTGTGGCCAGGAAATCAGAAGACGCTTCCTTCTTGGGAGGAGAGCAATGTCCAATCTCGATAAAATAGTAAAGAGTAGAGACATCACACTGGCAACAAAGATCCGCCTAGTCAAAGCCATGGTATTCCCTGTAGTAACCTACGGATGTGAGAGCTGGACCTTAGGGAAGGCTGAGCGAAGGAAGATCGATGCTTTTGAGCTGTGGTGTTGGAGGAAAGTGCTGAGAGTGCCTTGGACTGCGAGAAGATCCAACCAGTCCATCCTCCAGGAAATAAGGCCCGACTGCTCACTGGAGGGAAGGATACTAGAGACAAAGTTGAAGTACTTTGGCCACATCATGAGGAGACAGGAAAGCCTAGAGAAGACAATTATGCTGGGGAAAGTGGAAGGCAAAAGGAAGAGGGGCCGACCAAGGGCAAGATGGATGGATGGCATCCTTGAAGTGACTGGACTGACCTTGAAGGAGCTGGGGGTGATGACGGCCGACAGGGAGCTCTGGCGTGGGCTGGTCCATGAGGTCACGAAGAGTCGGAGACGACTGAACGAATGAACAACAACATGGCAGGGAGGGTCATCATAGTCATACATCCTACTCCTCATCATCACCATCATAGACCTGTCCGCAGCTTATGATACTGTGAACCACTGCCTCCTCCTGAGAAAAATGTATAATATCACAAAGGACGACCACCTCACCCATCTCATAGGAAACTTGGTACAAAACAGGAGCTTTTTTGTTGAGTCCCAGGGCCAGAGAAGCAGATGGCGGAAACAGAAGAACGGCCTGCCTCAGGGGAGCATGCTCGCTCCACTTAGACTACTGCAACGCTCTCTATGTGGGGTTGCCTTTGAAGACTGCCTGGAAGCTGCAGCAAGTCCAACGCGCGGCAGCCAGATTACTAACGGGGGCTGGGTACAGGGAGCACACCACTCCGCTGTTACGCCAGCTCCACTGGCTGCCAATTAGCTTCCGAGCACAATTCAAAGTGCTGGTGTTGACCTATAAAGCCCTAAACGACTCTGGCCCTGTTTACCTCTCCGAACGTATTCTCCCCTACGAACCATCAAGATTATTAAGATCATCTGGAGAGGCCCTGCTCTCGGTCCCACCGGCCTCGCAAGCGCGCCTGGTGGGGACGAGGGACAGGGCCTTCTCAGTGGTGGCCCCGCGACTCTGGAACTCTCTCCCTCTGGAGGCCAGAACCGCCCCATCCATCCTAACATTTAGGAAACGGGTGAAGACGTGGCTGTGGAGTCAGGCCTTCGAGGAATGAGACAACACCATAGGACTCTGGATGGAAGTGGATATAGATCCATCTTATTAGGACGACTGACCACTGTAGTTTTATATTTAGTGTTTTTAAAGTTGTTTTGTAATTTGTGATATATGATATTTTAATGAATGTATATGTTTTTATGGCTGTAAACCGGGCTGAGTCCCTCACCGAGGTTGAGAAGCTCGGTATACAAAACTGTGAAATAAATAAATAAATAAATAAATGATCCATGTTCAACATCTACACAAATGACCAGCCACTGCCAGAAGGGACAGAGAGTTTCATCTATGCTGATGATTGTGCCATTACTGCTCAAGCAGGCTCGTTTGGTGGGGAAGCTGATGAGGAAACACAATATACAAACTATCACAGAGCCACCAAGAAAATCCAACAAATGCTCCGTTCAGCAAAGGACAGCTTAAAGGTTTGAGGACCCCAGAATTAGGCAGACGTTTACCTAGCCTTGGCTCTTTCTGTGATGGAAGGACTCCTCCCACTTCTTCAAACAGGAAAAGGCAGGTTGTAGTTCAGGTCAACGTCCTGCCTGCTCATGAGCAGCCCGTGCTTCTAGTTCCACTCAAAGCAGCTTGGTGCTCATAGTTATAGGGTTTCCTGTGAGGTGCTTTGGCCAAACCAAAAACTCAGAGGAGTGGAACTCAATGCACAAAGGAGGCCCTCGTGATAAGCGCAGGAATGGCTTCAGACCTTCACATACTCCCCTCAAAATCCTCCTTCCCATCAGGAAAGAGCTCAGCACTGCACACCCTCAAAGTTCCTCGTCTGAAACATTTTCCTGCGGCAGGATAAGGAAGTGGGAGAAGGAAGTGAACGGTGTTAAACCAAGAGGAGAGAGGAGGGGGTGAGCATCTTTCTCAGGAATGAGCCTGTTGAGCCCTGGGCCCATTCCTTGGTCACCTCGCGACTGGATTACTGTAATGCGCTCTACGTGGCGCTGCCCTTGAAAACGGCTCGGAAATTCCAACTGGTTCAACGGGCGGCGGCCAGGATGTTAACTGGCGCTCCTTACAGAGAGAGGTCAACCCTCCTGTTTAAGGAGCTCCATTGGCTGCCATTTACCTACCGAGCCCAATTCAAGGTGCAGGTGCTTCACCTACAAAGCCCTAAACGGTTTGCGACCTGCCTACCTGCGTGACCACATCTCCGTTTACAAACCCGCACGCTCCCTCCGATCATCCGGAGAGGTCCTGCTCACGATCCCACCTGCGTCGCAGGCGCGTTTGGTGGGGATCGAGGGACAGGGCCTTCTCTGTGGTTGCCCCCCGACTTTGGAACACCCTCCCCAAAGACATTAGACTAGCACCCACGTTGGCAGTCTTTAGGAAGAACTTGAAGACCTGGTTATTCCGATGTGCCTTCCCAGAATAGGATAACCTCCAGCACTATGTCCCAGAAGCACTTTATTAGAGTTTAAGACACTCTGCACATTGCACTTGCCCAGAATTCCAACATACTACTTCATACACCCAGCACTTTTTAACCTGTACCCATCATTGGCCCAGCCCTGGTTTTATTGCGTAATAGTGTAATGTTTTGTTGTGTTATTGCTTATGTTTTTAATTTGCTTTGCATCGTATTGTTATTGTTTGCTGTTGTTGTGTTGAGACCTTGGCCTCTGTAAGCTGCATCGAGTCCTTCGGGAGATGCTAACGGGGTACAAATAAAGTTTAATAATAATAATAATATTTTTTTAAAAAAGGACTACCACCTCACCCGCCTTATAGGAAACCTGCTACAAAACAGGAGCTTTTTTGTTGAGTTCCAGGGCCAGAGAAGCAGAAGGAGGAAACAGAAGGAGGGCCTGCCTCAGGGGAGCATGCTTGCTCCATCCATGTTCAACATCTACACAAATGACCAGCCACTGCCAGAAGGGACAGAGAGCTTCATCTATGCTGATGATCATGTCATTACTGCACAAGCAGGGAGCTTTCAGACTGTAGAACAGAAGCTCTCCAAAGCTCTAGGTGCTCTTACTGCCCATTGCAGGTAAAACCAGCTGATCCCTAACCCATCTAAAACACAGACATGTGCCTTTCATCTCAAGAACAGACAAGCATCCCGAGCTCTGAGGATGACCTGGGAAGGAATCCCACTGGAGCATTGCAGCACACCCAAATACCTGAG